CTCACGAGGCACTCCATGATACTCGCATCCGTAATACCCAGGATCACGATGCCGATGATTGTCTCGTCATCGATATCCTTGCCCGATTATTTTTCGTATTCGCGCACCTTTCTCTCAAAGGCTTCTATACAAGGAACCAGATCATCCTCGAACTTGTAACGAAGGATCTCCAGAAGAAGGCCGACGTATCTGGTCTTCAATCTCGGATTATATTCCAGATAAAATTGTCTGCACGCCTCCAAGCCTTCATTCTCCCCAGAGCTATTCAATTTATCCAACGCCCGCTCCCTGCACAGCATGACGAGAATATAGTACAATTGCGCGGATAAACCTTGCTCTTCGGGGGAGAGGCTTCTGTTCCGCAACGGCAGTTCGGAATTTTCGCTCCTTGCCAATAAAGTCTGGAATCGTTTATCCAGAGCTCCTAAGAAGGAGCGCAATATAAAGTTCCAATCGTTGAAAGTTGCCGCCTCGCTGCGGATTACCTCTGGCTTGCCGAGACCTCTGGTGTCTACCAGAGATAGCAGCCCAAAGACTCCAGTAGCAACGCTGGAGCTGCTAGCAGATTGTGTCTGCTGCTGTTGCTGCTGCTGTTGCTGCTGCTGTTGCTGCTGCTGTTGCTGCTGCTGTTGCTGCTGCTGTTGCTGCTGCTGTTGCTGCTGCTGTTGCTGCTGCTGTTGCGGCTGCTGTGCCTGCTGCTATGCCTGCTACTATTGATTTGATAAGCTCTGGATCTGTTGCTGCTGCTAGGGCGCAAGTTGCCCTTGGATCGCCTGCATCGCCTCAATAGATTGCTGCAGTTGGGCCAGAAACTCCGTCGCCAAAGCCTCCATCCTTATCTAAAGACTTATGACCAGGATCCTCCGACTCGGTCTCGTCCCCGGCTCCTTCGTCGTCCGCCTCGTCCTTCTCTTCTTTATCTTCTTTCCTGTCTTTTCCTTTTTCTCCTTCTTGAACTTCAAGGCACGGCGGCGACGGATGAGGCTCTGGGTTGCAAAAGCTAGCGTGCAGGGTCTCTGATCCTTTGCTCGCTCGTCGCAAGCTGAATACGCCTCGTTCAAAATACGAACGATTCCAATTCTGCCTCTTGGCTTGAAAGGCAATAGAACCTTCTTTCATTCCGCCCTTTCATTGAAAGATAGATTTGTTGAATGCCTCTTCAAGATTTCGATCTTGGGCGTGATACGAAGAACGTATCGCCTCTTAGGATTGGAATTTGGCAGGGCTGTCCTTCCTCTCCAGAAGGGTTTTGTTAGAGCTTCCTCCTCTCCTCTTTATCTTATTAGATCTTCTCTTTGCCTTCGCCTTGATTTTTTATCTCCGGAGATGGATTTGGCCTCTCCGACCGGCTTTCTTCCTTTCTTTGCCGCCGGAATGGCCTTTCTTGCTGGGCTTGCCGCAGCCCTTATCCGTCTTTGTGGCGGCTTCCTGGAGAAAAAGAAAATCATAACCGCCCAGACCTGGGAGAGCCTTGTCGGCTTCCGCCCAATGAGGGGGCGATGAAGCAGTAGCCTCCCTCTCAGCTGCCCTAGGCTCAATCAAGCAGCTCCCCTTTCATACAAAAACAGGCGCGGGCCAAGAAAAGCTCTTAGACCTTTTATAATCCTTAACTTTCCATATAACCAGTTCCGCCTTATTTTGACTAGGGGACCGATATCTAATGTGCAAAGAGGTTTTATACAATATTTCCAAATAATTTCCATTATATATTATAATTGCAATAAATGAAATATATAAATAATAATCCTTAAGAGAATATCCTAATAATAATGCTCTAATAAATATATTCCAACAATAATATTGACGAAAATTCCCAAATTCAATAATTTAATCATCATCAATAATTTCTAAATATTGCCCAATTAATATCAAATCCTATCATTCCCTCCTTCGGCATCTTCCTTCTCGTCTAATTCGTAATGAATGGTGGCAGGATTTGACGATTAGAAAGCCGAACACCGATTCTTCTTGAGAAATCTATTTAGATCCTTCAAATCTCTTGAATAACGAGATTTCCTTCTTCTCCCGCAAATTATATAATATTCGATTAAGAATTAGAATCTACATCTCATTATATTTACGATATCGAATATTTAGTATTGGAAATCGAGGTCCCCATTTTTTTAATGATATCTTCGAAATTCAAGATATCGAATATCGTAGAATTTATTCTATCCTTATAATAGATAGTTGTCGCATCGTGGCGCCACGTTCAATAACATTATATATCTTCATGATGTCATATTAGCCCCTGATCCGGCATCATTGCACCATCCTTGCGTCACGTCGGGATACGTCGGGCGCGCCGCGTGGGTCCCTGAAACGGCACCTTAATTTGCAATGCCATGTCCTGGCGGCGCTGCGTGGGATACTGATGCCACGTGAGGAAGACGCATATCTTCGGCATGTGAGCTTTTGACGCCACATCCTGGCGCCACGTCCGCCACGTCCTGGCGCCCATCCGGCGACGACACGTGGCACATGGCGCCACCAACTTCCAGCGAGGATCTCAAAGACAGCATACCTGGCGCGGCGATGCAGGTGCGTCTGGGAGGTTGGCACGCACTTCTTCTTAACTTTACAAATCGATTTCACGTCCTCCAAACCCAGTTCTCCTGTCCCTTGCCTCTAGAATTTGTAACCTCCAACCCCCCCAGGAATCCAACGCGCGAGTCCTCAGTTCGCCCGACCTGTGCTCGGGAAGTGCCTGCATGCACCCGTGTGTCTTCGCCCGACTTGTCTTCGGGAAGTGTCTTCGCACGCCCACGTGTCTTCGCGACGACACGTGCCTTCGCCCGACCTGTCTTCGGCAGATATCTTCTGACACGCTCGCGGCAAGTGTCTTGCCCAGGGCAGTGTTCTGATAAAGTGTCTTCGGACGCCCACGTGTCTTCGCTCCGAGAAATGTCGTCCCCTAGTGATGCCCAGGTGTCTGCATAGTCCCAAACCCCATGTGTCTTCAAAATGTGACTTGGTCTAAAGATGATCTACGGGCCCTTGCTGCAAGAACTACATGGACGTGTAACCAGGACAGGAAGAAGTCGGCAGCAAGTTGTGCCACCGTTCTCCAGCAGCAAATCATTTCCCACTAAGGAGCCGCGAGTCCAGCTTGCGGTGAAACTGCTTGAATTGTGACCTCAGTCTGTATAGATTACGCAAGGCCAAATGGGTTCAGTTATGGTCAACAAACTTTCTGCTAGGACTTTTGCTGAACGTCCTCAACCTTGAAGCATTGTGAAACGGTGACACGCTCGGCTCAGGTATTTCCCTGCAAGACAGGAAGTTTGCTGAGCATCAACTGCCGCTCTTAGCCTGTGCCTCGCCAGCTTTCAGGAGGAAGCCTTCATCGCACGCCTATTTTGGATAAAACCTGAGCAGGGTAGGACTGGCTGGAAGACATGTCATGAGAGAGAAATTGGCCTAACAATAAGTGCCCGGCATTGAACCTCCTCGGATGGCGACGCTCTTGCTTGGTTTGAACTGGCACCACACCTTCCATGAACTCAGCAACTGCGGGTGCCGACCCTCAGTCCCTTGGGACAGGCGCTTACCTGTGTTGATCGCATAGGCTCCAGTTGAGCCCTAAACTCCATATCCCCCATTCCGGGCCCCACCAAGAATGTACCTAAGTGGAACATGCCTGCAGAGTACTTGCGAATTGGCCCGCATGCTGTCATCCGAAAGAGCCCGAAGCTAACCTTCGAGAGTATGGGCATCTTGCCCATTTGGTAGTTTACCAAAATAAGGGGACCCCAGTATGGACCACAAAATACTATACTTCCCATTGTAGGGACCCCCAGAATGGTATCCCTAATCTTGAGAAACCCCATTTACCACCCCCCAAGATCTGAAGCCCGCAGATGTTGCGAGTGATAACACTACTAGGGTTGATGGGGGCTCCGTGGCTGGAAGCTGGGTAGATCTTCCCATGGTGGACATTCCTTCTGTGAAAAAAAACCGAGTACTGCTGCATTGTACAGATGGGTGGAAAAAGACAAAAGAAGTTGCTATACAGAACTGCTTCTGATCACCTCGGAGACAAAATCGTGCCGCCCACACTGACACTTTGAAGGCTAATCCAATTCAGAAGCTGCAAGCCCCGCGAGGGCTAGACGCCCACCCCTCAGTCCTGAACCAATGTAGCTGCGCACTGGCTAGGGAGGAAGTAGGTAAAGTACCGGACACTTGCACAATTCCGGAAGCCTAAATCCTGAATCTTACTGGGGATTAGTACGCAATAAGGAACTACAATCCCTCTGTAGCCCCTACATTATATATTCCCACGTTTCCTACTAACCCCAAGTAAGAAATCGTTGCAGCTACTTACTAAGTCACGTTAGCCTTTGGCTCTCCCACTCCTGCCTTGGGATCTGGCTTCGGCGCGCCCTGTGTTCATTGTCTCTATGAAGACTACTACCATCGTGCTTATGGTTACTTCTACGACAGCGGCTACTAAAGTATGCGAACATCATGATGAAGTGACTGCTCCTGTAATAATTCACGGTGATGGCGGTCATGATGATGATGATGATGATGATAGTGATGATGACGATGATGACGACGAAGATGGTGAGAGCATAATATTGATAATATTGGTGATGAATTAGTTGCCGTGGGCACTGCGTTTTTTCCTGCAGCTTCCGGTATGGTGCTACCGCAACTATGCAAATGGGGAGGTTTGTTCAACGCCATGCGCAAACAACTAAACCATAACAGCTGGAATAGTGAACGACAGGAATTAATGATGGCAATCACAGAAAGGGAGGAAGTACTAACTAGAGAAGTACCAGCCAGATCATGCTAGCCGCAAAAACCAAACATGAAGAGTTAGAGCTGTCACCTGGCCAGAACAGCAGCTAGCGGAACGGCGGCAATCTTACTTACGAGAGTTAGAGCAACGACACAAGTGCAAGCATGGAAGCGGGCGAGCATGCGCAGTCAATGCCTTGTCTACCCGTCTGGTGTGGTTATTCTGAGGCACCGAACAAGGACATCCGCTATCAGCAAGCCTCCGCATCATCTGCCGGCTCATCTTCCGTAGCCTGCTCCTGTCAAAGCCGATGAATCTTTAATGCAAACAACAGTCAGTGTCGGCCAAAGCCTCGAACAACAAACGGTGCAACTCAAACTATGTTTGGATGTTGCGCCTGGCTAAGCCTTCCCGTCTCACCTCAACACTTGCAAACCCTTTGAGTCGGTGCTGCAGCCGTCACTAGTATGCACACATTGATGGAGCTGGCACGGGTCGAATTCCACAACTGCGAGGATGGTCTTCCAAGCAAAGCCGCATCCAATGGAAAAATGCGAGGCGTAAGGCACACAAGACAGTACCATTAGTGCAGTAGGCCTTCTGCAGGTAGTCGCCGGCAAGTTGGTTGCCATTCTTGAAGACCCACACTCCCTTTCCATAGGGCTTATTGTACCTCAGGCAAATTTGACCATGGCACGATCACAACATCCACTCCTAATAAGGCATTGGAAGCATGATCAGGCAGCGTTTTCACAAACAGATCCACAGACAGCCACACCCGGAACGCTGAGCTGACGAGCCTGAACTTGCCGCAGTAGAAGGTGCCGTTTGGGAACACCCACCTTCCAACAGCTGGCTCCGTGCCCAAGCGAAGGAAGACAAGCTCATGCGTTTCGGTGATACTACAAAGGCGACTAAGACGATAGAGGCTCCTGTAAAAGTAGGAAGGAGCCAGTAGAAGAAGACCGAAGATTGGACATAGTGCTGGGGAGTAGCAGATGCACCGTGAGATCAGCCTGTGAGCCTACTGTTCCACTCACATCCCCTCACTACCTGGTTCAATCTCACACTAAGCCGCGGCGATGCTAGAAATGCACGCCTCCTTCGTGCTGACTGCAAAAAATGCAGCCAAGCAGCTTGCCGCTGACTATCTTGCCATCTTCCCATTCTCCGACTAGCTGGGTGCCATCCTTGGCAAACCTGATGGTCTGACAACAGCTCCATCTTGCCATCATGATTGCTGTGGCCAACACTCCAACTGTCATTACTTCATTGTGATAATTTTGCATTGTCACAATCATTGTCATTTTTTATGACTCTTGTCATTCTTCGTATCCAAACACCCGCCCTCCGTTCACGGAGGTTTGGTCTGCGACAGAACTGGGGGCTTGTCATTGTCCCGCCCTTAAACCCTCGACAACCCTAAACTCTAAACCCAAGACCCTAAACTGTGTCCTCCACACTGCAAGCGCAAAGCGGCCGGCTTCACGTGACAGGAGCTTCCCCATCCGAAGAGTGTGCAGGATGGTCCGAATTTTGAGCAGACTTCTGCACAGTCTCGGGGGCCCGGCGTGTAGGTACCTTTGCCGTGCTTCTTGCCCTCCCTCCACTGACCAGCGTAAGCCTCAGGCAATTCTTATTGTGTTGTGTGGGCTATTGGTATTAATACGATATATTACCAATAAGAATATCACTATTCGTATTAATATCTTTATTTATATGAACCATCTTCTCACTGCTATCATATAGACCAGTGTCACTGCATCCCAGGCAAACTGCCTGGAACAGCACAACAAAAAAGCAGGCCCCCCTATCCCAGCCAAACCCGGATGATGAAGCACCCAAAAGCAGACACTCCTGCTACCCTATACGCCTGACATGTGATGCCTCTGGGCATCCCTCATTGGTACACTCACCCCTATTACCAAGCCTGATAACCATTGACACACTTAATCCAGCACGGCTACGTCTCCATTGACGTACGTGAAAGTCCCATCTGCAGGAGCCTCGAGGAGCTTCCAAACATGTTGGGTTTCAGGGTTTGGGGGTAGGGTTCTTGAACTGAGGAGTTATCTGGGAAAGCTTAGCAACAATTTCTTTCACGAGCTTTGATATGTACCAACTTGTTTACGTGCGCCACTGATGCCGGTGCAAGGAAGATGCAGGTTTGTGGTTCTGTGCGTTTGTCTTACACCTTCTGCATCTAGCTGTTTGTGCTGAGCGTCTATGCTGTGGCAGACACTGCCATACGCCATCCGGGATTTCTCGAAACCCGAGTCTCCAGCACATGCCCCCAACAGGGTAAATTCCCCGCAGCAAGAACCCCTCCAAAAGGGATACCCACAAGTTTGAGAAATTCCAATCTCGATGCTCGATCAGGAGAAAATCGGCAGGCATGGTAAACCGCAGAGTTCCAAAGATAGGGCTCCTGCTTCGACCATAATCCTTACTTTGAGGACCATCACACAACAGATCCCTTGCTGTTGAAAACTCCGAAGCCCTTTATACCCCTATGCATCCCTGTAAACGGTACGTAGGACCTCAACCTGTTATCCCAAGTTGTGCACCAAATACATACACCCACCGATCCTCCTAAGCTCACCCAAAAACACACTAACAAGCCCTATCTCATATCACCCCTAGAACCCTAAAATCCTAAACTCTGAACCCCAAACCCAAAAATCCAAAACCAATTCTCAACCCAAAAACCCCTTGAAAGACATCCAAAACCAATTCTCAACCCAAAAACCTCTTGAGAAGGAGCCTCCCTTGATTTTTAGAAGCTACAGAGGTCCTCAGGGCCGGCATTGGCGAGGCATCCGCGGAGGCCGGCAGTGAAATTGCCCAAGTACGTGCCTTCATTTTGGTTTTAGGGTTTAGGGATTTAGGGGTTTAGGGTTTAGGGTTCAGGATTTAGGCTTTAGTGTTTAGAAATTATGGGTTTATGTTTTAGGGGTAGGATTTAGGGTTTGGGGTTTAGGAATTATGGGGATGCATGTGCCTTCAATTTCTAGGTTCCCCAGTAACGCCTTAACAAACGGGTACCCTTTTCCTGATGTTCAGCTTTAATAAGAAGAGCCCAAAATATAAAAGGGAAAAGGGCTACAGCTGGGGTACCTAATTCGTTTTTATCATTATTCTTACTGGGGGCTAGTAGGGAATCAGGGAATACGCTCTTTGGGGATTATATAGGGATTATATTCCCTCATTCCCTACGTTGACATGCTATATACAATGCATATCACATATTAGAAGTGGTTGCTGCTCCAAATTTTGACTTCATGGTTGTCAGTAGGAAAGGGAAAGCCAGACAATTGTGGAAGTAGCACGGAAGCTACTATTCAGGTCTTATCCATTAGGGAATGAACGCGATATGGAAAAGCACATGACAAATAGAATGGACATTGAGGGTTTATGGGGACGTATTAGGTTTAGGGCTTAGGGTGAAGTTGCTGATTGTTAGTAGGAAATGCAGGAATTCAAAGAGAAACGGAAACTGCTATGTTCTATTGGTGGCTACTTTAAGAAGAACCAATTCCTCCATTTCCGACCAACCACGAGTGAGCTGTCAAAGGCGTTTGTTTGCCAAAGCAGAAGTAACTTCAAACGGCTCCCTCCGATATATCTCAGGATCTTATACAGGGTTATAGTGGTAGAGCATAGGGCTCAAGTTCAGTGTGTCTCAAAATGGGCTGTTTAGGGACCCCATGGAGGGTCATACTTCTACATGGATCTTTTGTGAGGATTCAAAAGCGGTAATTTTCATTAAGCTCCCATATGGTTAGGCAGCTTACAGGAGCTCAACTACATCAAGGGTCAAGGCTAAAGGCCAATACACACAGGTGTTCCGAAGCTAAGCATGGTAGAAACAACTGCTTAGCAGCAAGCTCCCTCTGGTATGTGATGGTGTGACGGCAGGAGCCTACTTCGAAGCATTCTGAATATCAGTGCCGGCACTTCTGCTTCCATTCCATGCCTGCTCCCTGTGTTCCTATGACTACGATGGCCAGGAGCAATGTCACCATGATTGCCTACAGTAGACTTTGGCATGCCAGCCTCCTCTTGGTGGGGCGTTCTCATCTGGGGGGTCACCTTCCTCGTCCTGTGAGCATCTCCAGGAGAAAAAAAAGATGACTTGCTCAGGAAGTTCTATGGCAATCCAGGCGAATATGGTAGTTTCCCTAAACAGGGTCCCAACACACTGTAATCCTTATTATGGGGACCCCCAAAATGGTACCTCTGATTTTGGGAAACTTCCATGTGCAGCGGCTCCTCGCCAACGTTGTTCCTGCAGCTGCAGTGTAGCAGGGGAAGGGCTCTACAAGGAACGTAACTTCTAACCTAAACCCTAAACCCTAAACCCTAAATAGTAGTTTCCATTTTCTTTTCCATTATCCCCATATAACCCCTATATAACCCCTTTAAAGGGACCCATATACTTAAGGGGGACCTGAACCGGGACCAAGCTCGCTGGGGGGTTGCCACGGAATATGGCAATAGAATATGTGGGGATTATATAGGGGTTTCCCAAAATTAGGGGTACCTTTTAGGAGCCCCAATAATAAGGATTATAGTATTTTGGGGTCTATATTGGGGTCCCCTTATTTTGGGAAACTACCATATAGGGATTATACGCCCTTCTTCCCTGCCAAGAACCTGTAAGAAAGAGCATCTGCAGATGGATTTTAGTCTTTTCGTGGCCCTTTTGATGGTTGCCTTGTTTCGGAGAGGTAAGGTGAAGGGTTGAAGAGGACCTGGACAACGATGCTGGCCAAAAAGGAAATGTCTTCCCTGGAAAGGAATATGATTTTGGCTGGTAAACCCATCCCTCAACCCTGAACCCTGTTCCATTAGTCGGCAGATTCAGGCGAGCCTAGGAGGAGCAACTACAACTGCCACAGATGCGCAGACTTCGCCATTGTTTGACTTTAGCAAACGCCGCCGGTACAATTGAAGCTACCGGTGCTGGGACCATGGCTGCTTCCTACAGTTGTCAACTTGTTTAAATGTATGTCTTCGCAGTCGGAAGGGCCGCTTTAGAATGTCCAGTCTTTGCGTATCACTCCACGCAAGTTCCTCAAGAGCTTACACATGCAACGCTGGCAGTGGGTCGTGCCTGTACGTCATCTTTCCAAAGCCATGCTTCCTGTTCTCTTCATACTTGCCTCAGAACTCTTAACATGCCACAGGCGCTCTACACTCCGGGCACAATCAGCATGAATGTGATGAGAAGCTGTAAAGATAAGCATTGGCTCAGGAGTCGCGGGATTAGAGGCAGACAGGCTTGCAACCCTCGAAATCACAGTCACTGCATATGGTAGCACTTCATCATGAGCATGGAGGTCAGCTGAATCAAAATCAGAACATGGCTGCTTCATGGGCCTTCGTAGCTGTCGCCAGTTTTCTTGAAGACGTAGAGCCCCTTTCCTTCAAGGCACTGCGAAACTCTCGACCTTGAGAAGCCTTGTTCCTAGGCATTTTCGACTGTACTGAGATAATGAGAGATACCAACGCCAACCACTCTGGCAAGCGGGAGCCGAGTTTGGAAATGAGTGGGAGACTGCTGCTGCCCCTTTACAATATGCACAGTTGACCGCTGCTTTGCTTATGGGCTCGTAGTGTATCCTCAAAAACAGTACAGCGCTTGAGCTTTTGGCCCCGCATTGCCTGTGCGAAGGCCCTCCACGAAAGTGCCCTCGTAGGAGTCGCCAGTCAGGTAGAGAGCCTTGCCTTGCCATACTCGGCACTGAAGACATCTCAAGACAGCTGTCCGCTACTGTTGACGTAGCAGCAGTTAGAGCGGCTGACAGAACGCTGGAATCCGTGAATATGATTCACACTCTTGTCCAATGTTCAAGGCGCTCCCTTGCCGAAGCTAGAGGAGTCATAGAGGACTTGGTGCTCCCATCTTCTAGAACGTAGCGCAAGCATGAGTAGGTCTGAACCCCGATACATACATACATACATACATACATACATACATACCTACCTACTACCTACCTACCTACGTACGTACATACGTACATACGTACATACATGCAGCATGCATGCATGCATGCATGCATGCAACCTAAACAGCTGGGTTGCGGTAAGGAACTTGAAGTAACTTCTCATACTGCGATTTACCTGTGCATGTTCATAGCCTGGGCTGCTGTTAAGGAACTTAAGTTACTATAATTACTAACAAGGAAACCCTATCATATACTACACATCTATATTATGGTAACTTAATCTAAGTTCCTTAACAGCCATCCAGAGAAGGTTGCTGAGCCCAAGGATGGTCCCCAAAGCCCATCTGACCTTGCTGCTGTTTTGTGGGATCCTGAATAGGAGCGTCCTTGTGCTTTGAAGGTTATCTTGGGACCCCCTATGTTAATATGCAACAACGTGTGTAGGTTTTTTGAAATTGGGGCGAAAAGGTGGGTGGGGGGGCTGACTTATAACATCCTGTGCGCGTCCCTCGCCCAAGATGCATAGAACCTCCAGTTGCTGCGTACCCTAGTCCCCAAGTCTACTCTGCCCAGCCTTGGCCAGTGAACTTCTGCGAGCCATCCTAGAAGAGCTTGAAGCAATGGAGAAGTTCAGAATCCCCATCAAAGTATAGGAAGTTGAACTACACAGGGTTCAGGGTGTAGTGCCTTGGCCCTTGAAATTTGAGCACGGCTCACGTGACCAGCAGGTTCCCCCACACGCGCAACAGAGCTCTGGAACCGTTCTGCTGGTTAAAAGAAGCAGTAAAATCTTGGAGCCGGAGTCTTCGATATATTGGGATGACTGGTAGGGACTTCATGTTAGTGTGGCTGGTAAGTGAGGGAACCTCCGTTGCCTTGATGTCAGAAGGCTTGCCTTTAAGACACGGAAGCTATCAGATATCCAGCGAATTGGCACGTGCTGGGGCCCTAGAACTTTGGAACATCTCGGAATAGAATACTGTTCTTGCCTTACAGTTAAACTACTTTCTACTGTTTGCTTGTGATTCATCTTACTGCGTATGTCTGAGATGGTCGAATGGGCTGGTTGACCGAAACACCTATCTGGGCTCCTGCAACACCGAGAACAACTTCAATAACTTAGGAGGACCCCCCACCCTGTAATAGTGGTATAGTAGGAATATAGTAGGACCCTAATAAAATCCTTATTATCCCTTATAGTCACTATTACAGGGTGGGGGGTCCACCTAATCAATAACCATCTCCTTCATTCCATACTACCAATAATCTATGCAAGTCAACCGTCACATGACCGTTGCTTCTCCCATACACACCCGGTAAATTTCCTGAGGTCTCAAGAGCTGCATACTTCCTGCCAAGAAAGATTCTCCGGTCAGAGCAAGGACGTTTCCATCAACCCAAAACTCCTACAATTGAAAAACCTCAAACCCGAAGCCCCATGCCCTTAGTTTTGACTGTGAACCCCATACCTTGAGCCCTGAAACCCATACCTCCAAATGCCCTACCCTGAGCCCCAAGCCCCAAACCTCAAGCCATAAACCACATACCCCAGGCCCTACAACCTAAGCCCCATACCCTAAGCCCTAAACCCCATACCCTAAGCCCTGAGCCCCATACCCTAAGACTTAAACCCATACCCTAAGCCCTAAGCCCCATATATTCCCATGCCCAAGGCCCTAACAAGCTGTAAAGTCCAAAACTACGCACTTCACCTGGCCTCGCGCGGCTTCTCGGCACCCCTCACGAACAGCCTGGCATGCAAATGTTTAGGCAGTTCACAAAGCTGTTGCTTAAGGGAGTGGGGGGAGTGGATAGAACAATTGTTGAGGTATATTCTGGAGAATAGATGCCGATGGGTCCCAGTCACCCGCCTCCCCTTTCCAAGCGCATTTGATAGGGCTTCCAGGAGATTCCCTTGACCCCGCAACCCAAACCAAACGCGCCAGACGTACTGATACTTTGGTTCCCCTTCCTCTGGCTCGTCAGCCATGCTTTGGTCTTGGAGCCCCTGTCCATCACACAGTGAGGCGCCGGGTGCCAGGTTGGTGGTAGATCAAGTAAGCGCCTAGAATGCCTTGCATCTACTTCAAAAACCGAAGATGCTTCCAGAGCATTGGGGGAGCGGATTCTACAACGCTATCCATGATCGTGATAGCTAATGACAATCCACTGTTGCTTCCGTAGCTCTGCACTGAGAACTTGCCAGAGTAGCATGCGTTTTGTAGGAGACAAGGCCTGTTGTAGCCCAGCATGATCAATGATGAGCCCTATAACTCTTTCCCTCCATTCCCTACGCAGCACCCTACATCATGAAGAGGTTCCCTGCCTGGACGGAAGCTGTTCTGTACAATCCCCAGGACCCAGAGGTTTGGGCCGAGTCTGCAACGTGCTATTTCATCAACCCGGCCCTTTACATGAAGCTTGAGGCTCAAGACAAGGGCACCGGTAAAAACCATAAAAACACTGATGTCCATGGATGAGAAAGCTGTTAGCAAGGCTTGTGACAGAGACATCTTTTGATAGTATTCGCCTTTGCCTGGAATGAACGTCACGGCTTGCGTATTGCCACCAGTCCAATTTTCCACGTGACAAAGCTGATACTCATTTGTGGTAATGGCTAATCTGGTCGTCGTGTTCTTATTCATTGCTCAATGGTTGCTGCTGCCCTAATTGGGGAATTTGCGTGGTGAATCCTTAAGCTCATCACAGCAACCACATGCTAGTGATGCAACTTTTTCTAGGTTTACGACTACGTAAGTTCGATGCGTGCAGCCTCCCGATCTGAAACCCAAGGCGTGTGGCCAGTCAGTGCCCCAAAGGGGGTCACCTTCTATGAGCCTGGAAGACTGTCCTCCAACTGTAATAGGCAAAGGTACGTACCAGCGGGCATCTATTGTTGTGGGAGAGGGGATGCGCAAAATGATGGGAAGAGTCATGATTCGTTTCTACCAATAGCCAGCCAGCATTCCATTCGATTGTTGCAGGTTATGCCCAGAACCTCTTTTGATATTGGCAAAGAAGGCTGCAAGAATAGCCAGGCAGCAACAGCACCAAGAAGCATCACTACATGTCATCTTAACAAACGTGACAATGATGCAGATGATATTGACATTGTCTATCGGTGCTCCTTGGTAAAATGCATGTATGGTATATGCATAAAAACCTATCCCAAGAAGCACATGCATATGAGCTATTGTCTAAACTCCTAGTATCCCCCTTAAGAAGTCCTATAGTAGTCCCCTATATTATCCCTTATATACCCCCCTTTAAGGAGTTTAGAATACAGCTCATATGTTGCGCTTCATGCATCTCAGGACGCAGTATGATGCTTTCCAGACTCGCCATGCATCCCCAACTATGAAAACGCCAGGACATGGGGCCACACAAACTGGATCGAGAAAGGATGCCTGACACAGAAACCCATAGATGATGACTGTTTTTGAAAGCTGGAATTGGGCTGTGAACGGACAACCAGCCTTCTGAAAGAAACGCCCGTCTTCAACACCGTCTTCACTTTGACCAATTTTGAGAATATGTTTTTTAACCAGTGGACCAGTAGGGTAATTTCCGTGAGCTGCAAACCTTTCAGGGGGGACATCGCTGTTGGAAGCTCTTTAGTCCACTCTCATACCCTCAAATCGCTGGACTGGAAGCCCCTCAAACAAGATGACCCGAATCATGAAAGCCCCAGACAAGAGCCCAGAATTTTGCAAACCTGAAGGCCAACACAACCCCTGTTCAACCACGACATGTCAACCCCAAATCCAAGATGTGCTAAATCTCTGGCCCCGTTGTTTCGATCCCTCTTGTATCCATGCTTGTGTCCGCGGGGGCTCGAGGAGCGAGAAGTCCGTGCGGGGATCCAAGCGCCGCATCTCCTGGCGTTGACATGAAGTGGGGTCCATGTTCATGTAGGCTTTAGGACTCAGGATTTGGGATACTTGAGCTTTGCAGGACTGGGGAGACGGGGTTCAGAGCTCACAGTTTCTCAGAAGTGTCGCTTTGCAAAGGGGTTCATAGGGATATATGAGGCCTATAGGGGTGTTCGGGCCTTAGGGTTTATGAGGTTTTTAAAACAAACAATCTTTTCCTTTGGGATGCTTAGGCTCAAGATGTTCTAATGGCATCATAGCAGAGACTGTTCATGGCGTCACAAATAGCATGAGTAGCTTATCTAGAGCAGGATCTACATCATGAGCTGCTCTTGCGCAAAGGCTGTTGGTAAGGCAAAGCCCGGACGGGACCCGAAACCCGAATTAAATCCTAAACCCTAAACCCTCAACCCTACATCCTAAACCCTAAATCCTCACCCCTACATCCTAAACCCTAAATCCTAAAGGTTGCAGAAAGATGCAGTCCGCGATGGCAGCGCGCGCAAATGGCTCAGCTCCGAGCTTGTAGTAGCTGCTCTCCTGAGTAGTGGTTCTTTTGGTGGTTGAACCCAGTAAGATAATGTTATATAGGGGATTATAATAGGGTTACATTGGGGTTATATAAGGATAATGGAAAAGAAAATGGAAACTACTATATAGGGTTTAGGGTTTAGGGACTTGAGTAGTGTTTTTTTGGTGGTTAAGCCTAGCAAGATAATATTCCTTATGTAAAATACTATACCCCAAAAGGAGGATACAATCTTACTCTATATTGGGTACCATAGTATCCCCAAATAAAATACTACTCTCCTGAGTTGCTAAGGTTGAAACCATAGGTCCCTACCCTGGGATCCTCATATAATGGGCCCCAAGTATGGGTTTAGGGTTGGGCCCTTTCACCTGGGATATCCTAGGTAGGATAATATAGGTTAAACAGGGGTTCGGGTTTTGGGTTGTTGAGATGAGAGTAATAAAGGCAAACAGTACAGTACTAGCTAGAAACGCTGTAGACCTGACTATGACGGAACACTTCCGTTCGATAAGCTCTGCAAGAAATGACCTCAGAATCGGACCCACTGCCTAAGGTCCCAGCCCGCTTGGCGAAGAAAGCCGGTGGATTGGCAAAGCGCTGGACGATGAAACTTCTCGTCATGATCTCAGGGTACGCTGCAATAAATGAAGATCGGCCATCGTGTGGACAGTGATAGGAACAGTACCTACCCTGATAAGCATCACAACAGAAATCGCTAACAACAATGGTGAAACCTGGATACTGCAAGAGACGCCAACATTTGCCTGGACGTTTCTCGTCGCGCGACTCTGTACCGCGCCACAGGCTTAAGCGCGGCTGCAGCACTGACAAACTTGATTGTTTTCGCCGCTTTCAACATGAGCCCGCTATAACATTCAACCCCAAGAAAAACAGAGTCCCACTATCATCATTCCAAAAGCGACCACGCTACTTGGATATTTCTGTAATCTTCGTAGCTAAGGTCGCTATAGTCTTCCTGAGAAAGCGCTGCGAAACATATATCACCGACGATACCTTGGGGGCTTCCAAAAAATTGCGGGTCTCTTTTGTGCATTGTGGCTGCTCCTAGGATAAGGAATATACTAAATCGGGTCTACATTGGCCCCCCAAACCCTAAACCCTACACCCCTTCAACCCCCATTCTGTGGGCCGGCCTCAGCGCCGGGGTTTCGCAACAGGTTGCCAGGCCTTAGCACAACAATCCATCAAATCATGCTTCAAGGTTATCTGAGCTATAGTCTAGATTTCTTAACGAGGTTTATGTAGGGAATTATATGGGGTCTAGGGTTTAGGGTCCAAGCTCCTTCAAGGGAGTTATACACGGGATTATTTGGGGGACCACTATAGGGGCTGTTAAATAGGGATACTACGTAGGAGGTTAGACCATGGCTCATGTAGGCTTGCCCTCCCGCAAATTAACATGGAACCTGAAATAGGCCAACAATGAAAGGATGCTAGTCTGTGTAAGACCCCTTCTAGGTTCCGTGTTAGTTTGAGGGAGGGGTTGGCTTAGGGTGGGGGTAGTATTTTAGAATCATTTGGGAAAGGATTATGAGGGAATAAGTCTAAGGAAGTATTTATGTTCCGACACTACTTCTCAATAGTTGGAACCCCATTACAACCCCCAAAGTAATGAAACCGTTTCTAGAGGAAATGCAAAGCTAAACCATCTGGGAAACCCCGATTGAAGTCATTGAAGGTATAGTCCTCCTTAAGTAGATAAACTTGAGGGTTGCGTGGGTTGTTGTATAACGATTTCTTGGAGTACGGGATGTCGGATGTAGTACTTCCTAATCAAATGCTGTACTGTACAACGCATACTGTAAGGGAGTGTAGAATAGACTCCAACTTTTCTGGACTGCGTCTACAGAAGGCATTGAATGATGATCATAGCATCTAGCTCTAGCTGCTCGCAATGAAGCCACAGGTTCCGCATCATTTTCTCCTATGGAACCCTGAACCTAAACCCTCATTTTACCAGTACATGCACCGCTCAAGAATCGGAGCCAGGGAGCAGCGTCTGGTTGAGGTACTGATGCAGCTTCACCCGATCTCAGGCGGAGTTCAGGGCAACATGGTTTTTGCTCTGAAAATTCAAAAGCTGCAACAATGAAGCAACGTGCTGCCAGCGAGCTGAACCGTTCCGAGACTGTGAAGCTCAGGGGGCCACTGAACTACAATTGAATGGCTGGGGCAAAACGTTCTACCACTTCCCACTTCAGTCAAGCTTCCCAAAAGCATCAGCTGAGCGTAGTCCAGCACGCAAAGGCCGAAGGGCTGTGCTCGCAGAAGCCTGAGAGATGCGCGGGATGGAAGTTCTTGCCATAGTGGGCGCAATCTCACGGGTCCCTGGAAATAGCGGCACCCCAAATCCTAGCTAGATACTACTGTGACCGAGCCTAACACAATCCAGAGCCTTTTGACACATCTCACACGCTTGCGTTTGGTCGCACCTCCTCGGAAATTGCGCTATGAGGTCCCTCTTGAAGCCAGACATGATGTTTGACAGATATCTTGGCCACCCAGACCGAGTGGGAAATGCCAGGCAAGACTCGAACAGCGTGTTCCGGCAAGCTAGGACGAAGATCCGTCGTGACGCCTCTTCAAGTCTATGAGCATTTGTTCACGCAGACTCCACCAGCTTCACCCGCCGTGTCTCGAAGGTCCGGACAATCCTGGGACGTGCGCTAAGAAATAATTGTGAAAGGAAGCATTCTACTTTTTGCCGCTAGTATGTAACCCTCCGTTGTGCAAAATCCTCCTTCATTGAATTCCAATGTTCGAAAGATAGCCAAAGGTCACTCTTAGCTAAACTATGGCTACCCCTAGTCAAGCTTCTATGTGGCTGGCCCAAGATCGCTCATAGTATCATAGTCAGGGCAGTGCAATCACTGCCACTCTGTTGCTTCTCATACCTGCCAAAACTTGTACCTTATGACCTGGTAAGAGATTGAGAACCGTGTGAACAAACCCAATGAACACCCCATACCCTGCAACTGGCTGTGAATCGAAGAGGTTTTGCACAACCTTTTATACCTTCCACCATAGGAGCTACAGTACATTGAGTAGACTATTGCATGGTGCCCCCTACCCACCATTGGAAACGCTAAGAATCATCATCTTCCAAGCAAAGCGATCCCAAAGCCAGTTGCGGACTGCGGGGTCGGGCTTCTGCTGAGTAGCACCAAAGGCCCGCGCCTCCCAAAGTCACAGCCTGCTTCAAACCTGAGTTTCAGGCTGTTGCGCTTCTTTACATGGGAAATTCGTAAAATGTACTAACGTGAGTCTTAAAGCAGACTACCTACAGGGATTTGCAAAGTATAGGAGATGATATGAATGTGATACGGGGCCATTGAAAGGCCCCTGCTGACTTATCATGATATGAGGCGGCGTCAAAATTACTTGTTTGTTCTCTCTTGGTTTTTGAATTAGGGCGTCCCCTATCGATTTCCACGTTTTGGGGATCTTCTCTTAACCGTAGCTTAAATGAAACAAGCCTATGGTTTTAGGACGTCCCCTATCGATCTTGGGATTTTTGCGCAACAACTACCGCCTAGATTCAATGAAGTAAACGGTAATTTTGACCGCGACTCATATATCAGCACTTTGCTTTGTCAAACTCGCACAAAAAAAACCTTATGGCTCCGGTTTCCGGGGAGCTTAAGGACCCTGGAGAGGGACCTGTAGTTTTGGGGAAACGCAGGCAACATTCTAACCAGCCCATCTGGCTGTGCACGGGCGTCTAAGCAATGATCCAGGCACCTCCCAGTGCTGCCTTTGACCAGGAATTTGCGGAACAAGAGCTCCAGCATTGGCCGTAACGTGGAGCTGCAAGCAGCAAGCGTTCCCACCCCTGAAGTAATGCAGCCTGCTGTCCTGGGCCATTGTCACGCCGATGTCTATACTGTTTTTGCTTGACAGCGTCTGTATGTTGTTAATATCACTTTTGCCAGTAGACTGGTGCAACAACTATTGCCATACATCAAATAGCTCAGACCCCTGTTCCTTCCGCATTCCAAAAAAAATGAACAAGGCTGACCTGGTGTCCCAGGGGTCGCGACGGTCGCAGGCCTTCCATGGGCAGCTTCAAAGTCTTGCGATTCACCTTGACTGTGGCCGTAAGGAGCTTCAAGTCGACCGAAAGGATGCTTCCAGTCCTTACTGCCGGTTTACAGGGGCCCAGAAAAGGACGCATGCTAAAAGATAGACGGGCACATCCCATCTGCTGCCCCCTAAAATCCCCTTAACCAACCCGAATGGCCAAAAGGTAGGGCTATCCCCGGCAAAAACTTATGTTTATGTTCACTTTTGCTCCTGTCCTGAGGGCATGAACGCACGGGGATGAGACGAGACATCAACAGGAGGGCGGAGGAGGACGACAGCGGCTACCATGACAACGACCACAAGATGGAGCAATTAGGGAAAGTTGGACATACAGCTGCGCAGCAAGTTGACTGCCACCAGTCGATGCGGCAACAGCTGGGCTTGGTACTGGAGTTGTCTGCAGGAGCGTGATAGCTCAGTCTAGCGTTCCATGCAACGCTTGGGCATGCTACGTGATGGCACTTGATGCTCTTCTAAACCAAATCAAAAAATCTCTGGGCTAGAGCTGCGAAGGCGCAGGCATCGGCAAGCAGATACGTGTTCTTCCATCCTTTTTGATCCAGGGAAAACGATGCCCAGTCCGTGCCTAGCCCGCGAGCCCCGCTGGGCGGGGTCGCTGTCCTATTAAGACAGCGCCCCTTCGTTCGCGCCGGCTCCTGGAAATCGGCAAGAGGATCGCATGAACCACTCCCTGAATCACCTGAATGTCAGCCTGCTTCGGCGCCTCCGCAGCGCTGGCCTCTTTGGGCCGGGCCTTGCAGGTAAAGATGCAAAAATGTACTCAGCCCCCGCTGACATTGGACGGCAGCGCACGCTAACCCAAGGAGGGAAAGACTGGGCCAGCGTGCGTGCTGGGGCGACCTGAACTGCACAGCGAGGGTATGAAACAAATGTACCCTCAATATGCATCGACAGACACGGAGATATATAATTTACCCTCAATATGCATCGACAGACACAGAGACATATATTACATATATAGAAGATTCCTGCATCCATGGTTTAAAAACTTGGGACCGCACAGCACTTTTTTTGGTTCCGGAACAAAAAGATTGGGACAGCACAGCACTCTTTAGGGTTTCCAGATCGCAGAAGTGCTGTACTGTACCAAATTGAAAATACCAGTTGCAGAGCCAGGCAGAGCCAAGAATCCAGGATTCCAGGATTTCCGTATTAACTCTGATAAGATTGAATAAAGAATTTATATGGACCAAAACCAGCTCTCCAAAACAATGAATGCGCAACCCCTGAAAAGTCTCAAAAACTCAGTTTTTTTTTTCAGAAGCCATGTTGAAATTCACAAGCAGTTCAACGTGTCTTTTTAATTATTTGTGTTTTTTTTGGCAAGAACGCATTGCAGTTATCAGAATCTAATCACCGCAAATGACTGAGGAATGAAAATCAAAAACCAGCAAAGAGCACTTGCATGATCTCAAACAGAAGAGCAGATGAATTGTTCATGATAGTGAACGGCCCTGGGTGTGGATCATGGGGGGGACCATGTATGCATATATACATATATGTATATACCGTCTGCATGCAGTCATAAAGAACTTACAGCGGCAGATACAAAATTGTGAGGTATTTGGTATGTACGGTATGTAAAGATCGTATACGGACTCGCTACCAGGGTTCAGAGGTAAGGGTCTGGAATGCTGGATATGGAGATGGGATGGGGCTTCAGCTGTTAGCGGCGTTCGTGCTTTCAGCTTGTAAACACCAGACACTTAACCCTAAACTCAGGGGATTGCACAATCGATGCAGGTCACATGCTCAAAGTGCAAGATGAACACGGCTCCTAAGCCTTCTGATAAAAGCTAAGCCGCCCAAGCCTATACCTTCGACCCTAAGGAAGCTCAGTTGCTTTGGGATTGTTTGGGGTTAGTGTTTAGGCTTTTCTCTGGATAACGGTGTTGAGGATTTGCGTGTCATGCAGGGCCTCGGAGACCAAGGCTGCCCAGTCCGGAATTTCAGTTCACGGGTTCAGGATTTCAGGTGCTGCATGTAACGGTGTGACGACCAACACTTCCACCACCACCACCACCACCACCACCACCACCGCGCCGTCGCCCCCGACACCGCCACCCACTGCCACTGCCACTGCCACTGCCACTGCCACTGCCACTGCCACTGCCACCCGCCACCCACGGCCGCCTTCGCCACCACCACCGCCGCCGCCACCGCCACCCTCACCCGACCATGAGTACAACAAACACCGTCACAAGCATGAGCAATCACGATCACGATGAGGGCGGTGGCGACAACAACGACAATGCGGTGATGACGACAGTGACATCATTATAACCCTCATCATCATCATCATCATCATCATTGACTTTGAGGCACCCGACACGAGGATGATAAGAAAATACCGGACAACAGGGCCTGCGTACCGGACAAAATAAACCAGGAGTCTGGCCCATGTTGGCTTCCAAGGTATTTGGAAGCGGCACCAGCGATGACACGGAAGCTTCCTCAAGGAGAGACCTGGCGCTCATGCAAGGGAAGCTGAGCAAAATGCACCATTACCTTTTGAAGCTCCCACCTGTTGTTCACAATCAAGACCTTTGTGCCTGCTGGAAGATTCACTGTCTCAAGAATGCCCTGGGTGGTGACTTCCCTGTCCAGGGCCTTCCTGAGTCGTACTCTAGGCCCTCTGAACACCATTGCAATCAAGCGCTGGATGAGATGTCAACGAAACTTGAAAACATGCCAGAGAGCAGCCCTAGCTTCTTAAAGGGCTGGATGCATTCCTTCTCACACATCTCTTCCTTGCACTGATCTTTGCACGCCAGCTCCTGAGAGCGCCAGAAGTCCTTCCCCAACACCTTGCAGCCGTAGCCTGCATCGATCCTTAGCCGCCCCATAATACCTTTCTGAAATGTAGTTATAGGAAATACAGCCCGTAAAGCAACACGGAAATCGTCGCAAATCCTAAACGTCAGCTTGGTATCTCTCCCATCTGTAGCGGCATGAACTCTATGGTGGTCCAAGGCCGATCCTGCGTCGCCAGCGGCAGGCAGCTCGGGTTCATAAATCCACCCACTATCACAAAGCGCCGCTCAGCTCCCTTCACAATCTTCCACTCAGAAAACTTGGACTGCATGGAAGCCAGATATCGTTCAGCCGTGCTCAGGGTCATCACGACATAGTCCACATTCAGCTGCGGGAATGATGCTTGAAAAGCTTGAATTACCGTACTTTCTTTCACCACACGGCTGAAAGGCACTAAGCGCTCTGGTCCTAGAGCCAGCTGCTGAAAAGGACTACGTGGAACAGCACAGCGGCCCCCCTTAGACTTCCACCAACTCTTGTAACCGTCTCCAGCAAGTCTTCGGCAGCCAGAACTGAACCATGTCTTGCTAGGACCATCTGAGGGGAAGAGCTCACACTGAACTTGCGGCTGGTCTGAAACCTGCTGGCAGCAGCAGAAATATTTGATCCCATTCTCGAAGACAGCTGCGTCTTCCCGCGCACTGAACTTGTGGGACAAATCAATCAGCTGCGTGTGGCCGCCGTCCAACACGTAGTCTGCAGGATCAATCTCTTCCGTAGAGTTTTGCCCCATATCTTCAAGCTGTTTCCTAATCCATTGTAGGGACACATCTGTCACGAACGAGCATGCCATGGACGAAAATGCAGCCACACCCCAGAATGTGGCTGATGCGGCCAGCGTTATCACCAATGGAGCCCATGCAGCTGCTGTAAGGCTGGTGGTGACAGCAGCGGCTGCACTGACTGCCAAGGTTCCAACTCCTGCGCCGCTAGCGATGGAGATGGAAAAGGACAGCCCTTCCTTTGTCAAGCCCCAGGTCGTCTCACTTGCTTGGTACCAATCATTCTGGCCATCATGTATGGTCACGTGCAAGTCATAGGCTCCCAATGCAGCCAGAAACGAAAACTTCCCTCCAGGCTCTACCCTGTTTTGGGTCTGCGCATATATGCGCGCCAACTTCGGCAAAGCTAGGAAGTTTAAAGGCACTGAGGCATTGTTGATGATTGAGAACTGGAAAGCAGAACGATTCTCTCCGCTTGTTGGTTTTGTCAGATCGGCGACCTCTGACCGCAGTCCGGCAGTTAGGCCAAGCACATGCGCCACGATTAAGCACGAAACATGCATCTGGCAGACATGGATGGAGCTGCTACAGGAGTTGTCAAGCGAACTGAATCTGAGCCAGCACAAGCAATCCGTGGTCTGGGCTTCAACGCATCCATATGCTCAATCACGATCGGTCGTTGCATAACTAGCCGTGCATTCGGACGAATCATGCGTAGGGAACTCTGAACAGTGTTTCAGCAGGTGAGAAGGGGCTCTTGAATCGTGATCCCGTTTTGGATCGTTTTGGCAGTCCTTCTCGCGTCTTGGGCTTCAATAAACGAGTAGACTGTAATGATCACAGCATTGAGTCTGTTTTACTTCACCGCAATCATAGTTGTCTAGTGTCATGATGTGGTTGTGTCATTTGCAGTGGGGTAGTATTCCGGAAAAGCTAGGCGGCTGTACCTGGTCGTGGCCACAACGGAGTTGCAATGAATTTAAACTGGATTAAAGCACATGGTGCCTGACTCCAAAGCGACTTCACGCAAGGTCCTCAAAGCGCTCTGCACTTACTCTGGCACATGAGACCCGGCCACGTACCAGCCTTACTTGACCAATCTTATTTTGGGTTCCTCTAGCAAGCAAAGGAAGTGCGCGTGCAAGCTTATGATGCGATGTTGGGCTGGCTTGCTAGCCAGGCCAAGTGACCAAGGTTGGAGCAGGCGCCCTCGAACTAGCCCGGATGGTACAAGTGCCCATATACTAGGGCTTGAGGTACCAGAAAACCATTCAGATCATAGCAGTTGAGCCCCTAAAGCCCTGTTGATTTGGGCACTGGGAACCTTAGGGAAGTAAAGAATCTGAATCCCTAGTGCTGGCTAGCTACCGCTGCAAGAATACCCGCATGATCGCCAAGATTACAGGTAAATCTCCCTTGTGATTTTGGGTGCCTTCTGGACAAGGGTTTTGGGAAGCCCCCCACATGCTGCCCCGAGACGGAAACCATGCCACCAGGTGTGCAAACACGAGTCCGGATGGACCTCTGGAAATCCATCCGAGCTTGCGGCTAAAGTCACGGCTTTTTCTGAAGGTTGTGAGGATTAGCGGGCGTCGCATTTGAGGCATATTCCTCTGGAAGCTATGGATCCACAGAATTCTGCTGCGAGCTTGGGCAAAGAAGAGGGTCATGCCGCAACACTTCGAGACGCAGCCAGGGATTAAGGACGTGTCATGGCAAAATCCTACCATGAATCTTAAGCCTCAAGCGCTACTTCCAGCCGTGACAACCAAACTTTAGAAGGGTGCCCCACCCCCCCAGAAAGTGACCGGAGGTCGATTTCCGAGCCTAATCCTGACCCCAAAACAATCAATACAACAGGAAACCCTGAACCCCCAGAGTTTAGGATTGGTTTAGGGCGCCTGAACCCCGCAAAACCCTAGACCCTAAACCCTGCGGATAGGTCTCCCCACCTGATCTTCCCCCCACGAGGTGCTTCCGGCTCAGCCACCAGCGCTGCAGCCCGCGCATCACCACGTCATCCCTAAGCTTCACAGTACAGTGGGTTTAGGGTTTAGGGTTTTTTGTTTTGTTTTTTTACAACCTTTCGGACTTTTGATGTCTGCCGCAAGGGTTTAGGGTTTAGGGTTTACGGTTTAGGGTTTAGGATTTCGGGTTTAGGGTTTAGGATTTAGGGTGGCTGTTTAGACTTAAAGGGAGTGACATGGGAACCCAAAGGAGCGGCTGAAATAAATTCCAATGCCCCAAAAAGATTACCTGAAGAGTGGGGATTCTGGTCAAAATTTTGTACTTGAGTTGAGTTGTACTATAGACATCATTATGCAGTGTAGAATATGAATGTGGCATGCGATCGATCCACAAAAGCTTTCTGAGACATGGTACTTGTAAGCGGCGATCATTGAACGTAAAATTCACGGGGCTATTGTGACCAACTCCTCTCAAAACTCCTACCGACACTGACAAGGCCAAGTAAGGCCTGATAGTTCCAAAATCTGTTTCAGTCCCAAGGGAACAATGGAAAGAGCGTCCAAATCTGTGGTTTAAGTTTGCCCGTGATTGGACTGCCTTCCGCTACTTCTTGAGAAGCAATCCCAAAAGGAACTAGATGAAGTACAGAGGAGGGCAGGAAGTAGTTCTACGCGTGCATATGCGGAGTTCTGATGAGCACTGTGCCACGTAAATGTAAAGATACGGGACAAGCGGCTGTTCCACTAGGAACTGCAGAAGGCACATGAATGGAATAAATCCAGACTTCTGCCATTGCTGGATGAGAGCCTGTGCCAAGATGAGGGCTTGCTGTCCTCGCAGTAAGGACCCTCCTGCTTCCCTCGCTTTTCAAAGATGTATAGTTGGAGTGCATTTTCTTCGAGAATATGGGCAAGAGACAGACTTCAAGCCAAAATGGAAACACAGCAGCCGCCGCAAGCAAAAGAATCCGAAAGAATGGTTTTCTGGAATTCCCTTCCTGGCCGGCCTTGTGCCCTCGATGTGCGATCCTTATATTTGAGGGAGGGCCTTCCAAAAACCACGCACGCAACTACCTACAGCAAAGGCCGCACTGATGCTAAAGCCCTGCACGCCCCTAAGCTTGCGAAGAATGAGATTATGAAATCAGAACGTTGTGCAGGAACGTTGGTATCCATGGCATCTCAGGGCTGCCAAGCCGCGAAAAGTCGGCAAGCTCAAACGCATGCAGGATTTGCTGATACCAGCACTCTTTGCAGAGAGCTGCACTGGAGTTGGACATCGGGAAGCCTCGACGTGCGTGGCTCCGTCGTTTGGGCTTTCGGGTCCCTGTTTAACGAGGGTCCATGGCGAAACTCGCATTTGCAGGAAATGAGTTGGTCAGGAAACGATTCCCCTTGCAGATCCTCCGCCACAAGAAAACCACTAGTGTGTGGACGAAGGTAACTTGGTCGACTGTAGCTAGGCTAGCGGCAATGCGCGCGGTGGCGATACAATGCAAAGGCTGTTACCGCCGGTCGCTGGCCAGAGCGTTGACGCCACTCCAGATGTTTTGAAACCTGTCAGCCGCCAACAAATTAAACAAAGATGGCCTGATGGCTGTGTCTTGTCGGGCATGCGCGGGACACCATCTGAAATTACAGTGGGCAAGCAGATTTCTAAGTGGGTCAATCCAGAGCAAGCGCAGAGAACATCCTCATGCAGAGAGCTGGCCTGGTAAACATTGATGATCTCCTCCAGGGTGTGGCAGCACGTGACAATCAATTGGTGCTAGTAGTTTCCATTTTCTTTTCCAAGATAATGTAAATGTTGACCATAGCTTTGCTATCACGCTACTTCTAATTTGTGTTAGCGACCATTCTTTCCGTTCTTATCAAGGCTGCTCTCCTTGGTGAGCAGGAGCCTGACACGTGTGACCTCGCATGCGGCTGCAAGTAGCGTTAGTAGCTGCTGTCAATACTTTAATGACTTGCATGACCTTACTGTACTTAGCAACTACTTTACTCCCAATTCAGGGTGCTCAGGCGCACGCCGAGTTTTCAGTATCCCCTGCAGAATCTGCAGCCAAGAGTCGTCAAGCCTTCGAGGAACCAAACCTGAGCAACATTTGGGACGCGAGACGGCGGTCCCCTAAAGACGGAGCTGGATGGCTGTTGGTGGTTCCCACGCATACTAGGAAGGGCATGAGATATGGAACCTGATCGACCCTTCTTCAGGACGCACAACATTTCTCTCGCCGCTCTTGCTTCCTCCTGCCATCGGCAATGATGCAAGGAAACTGAAAAGAGACTTTTTCATACCTCACCTAATCTCACCTATCAGACAGCCACAACTGAAAAGATCTGAAATGGAACCCGCCTGGGCCCTGCAGCCCAAACTCTTGAACACCAATGAACACCAAGTTGTTGAGGAAAACCAGTTCGAAAAGATGATGGAGAATGAACAGAAAACTGGGCATACACATCACAATGGTTTTCGCGCAGCCTCATCATACAAAAACTACCATGAGCGTTTTCGAACGCTTGCGCCAACCTAGCGCCGTGCTTGTGCGGAGCTTGCGCGCGCAGGGCTCTTGACAAATTATGTTATACTTGGTCTTGGCTGATCCACACAAGTTTTCGGACAACCCTCATATGTATATACAGGGTTGTGACGTAGCCTTACTGCAGCTCGAAGCAGCCTTTCCAGGGCCACACCAACTCCTCTGGCAGTGCTTCACCACCCGCGGTGTAGCCGGACACGCGCATTGCTTGCACCTTCACACCCATTGCAAAATAGAAGTAGGTGTCATCTTGATGGAAATCAGAACCCTGCCCGGGCCACATGTTGGGGTTTCACATTTGTAAACGCAGAAAAACTCTATCCCTTTGATTGACTAACAACGGGTCAATGCTGAAACTAGCTGCGTTCTTGCGCCGCAGGATTCAGGGATCTCGGATGTGTACAGTAAGCTTCTTTGTGTGTTCTGGGGCTTCTCCATGCTATGCTCCTGAGATGTCTAGTGGAACACTACATTGACAGCAGCAGGGACTTCAGAGCATTAGCCAAATCAGGTGGCTGTTCATGAAAGTCAGCTCATATTTGAGCTTGGGGCTACCATTTGTGGGCGGACATGGGTTGTTTGAGTCTACAGGCTCTCGAAATCTTCAAATAACCAAATCGCAAATTGCAGAAACCACTTCCCCCGGAAGAATCCAAGCAGTCCGTGATCCATAGCGAAATTGATATGACTTTGCAGGAACTTTTGTTGGCTCTTACAACCCCGAAGATGCACTGGGGACTTGGAATAACATCCTATAGCTTCTCAAGTAGCTGGAACTGTCCCTGAAGGTACAAGCACCCAATTAGTAAATGCTTGCGCCTCAAAGTAAGAAGTATGCAAATAGGAACCCGTTTGGGCCCAAAGTATGCGCCATGTACTATAATGCAAGATATAGAAAACACAAAACGATGGACATGGAACTGGACCCTGACTCCTAAACCCAATCCCTTGCCCTAAACCCAAAATCCTAAATAGTAGCTTCCATTTTATTTTCCATTATCCCCACATAACCCCAATATATACCCTATTATATTATAGTAGTTTCCAATGCATTTCCATTATCCCTTACAACCCCAACATAACCCTAATATAAGCCTAAGATAACCCCAAGGTAACCCCAGTATAGCCCTTGTATTAGACGCTAAACCCCTCCGGGCCTCGGCCAAGGCTTTGACGTTCAGCTGGTCAGTGGCCAGCTCCAGCAACAGGTCCTCAGCAAAGAATATAGTCCCCGAATATGGGGGATGAGGATCATATTATAATATTAACCCAAAGCCATATTCTATCTACTCAAGGGGGACTATAACAGCACCCTCCCTAATGTCGTGGCATCCTACTGGGTATATTTGTTGTTAGGGAATTTCATGCTTCTTACAGATTTTCATAGGTACAGTGTTCTTATTTTTTTGTGGCCCCGTTTCCAACTGATACTGGATTGTGGTGCCAGGCGATCCAGTTTCAAGAAACAGTTCTAATTACTGTTCTCCTGCGCTGTTATTTATCGTCGTAACAGCGGGGGCCGTCGCAGTACTAGGGGGGTGGTGTGGCTGTTGCGAGCAGCTTCTCATCTGGCCCAACACAGAGTCTTCACGGATTCCTTGACAAAGCTCGAATTCGCCAAACCATCCATCGAGCCGGACAGCTTAGACTGAATGGCCGTCTTCAAGCAGGGTGATTGCCACACCCAAAATAATCCTTGCGAAACGACAATCGTTGCGACATTCAACCTAGAACGAACTACTGGTCTTTTAGTAATTTTCGGCAGAGTCTGGTGAGCCATCTCTATGACTCTTATTCCGAGTGCTGCTCTTTCTAGTCCTTCTACTGCTACTACAATGACTGCTACTGTTCTAGAAACACGAATGAAAATGACGGCACTCATGATACCACTACCGCTACCACTGCAAATGCAATCATCACCCCCACTCGACCTGACCGTCATACATTTCGTAAGCCATGTTCTAAGTGCAAGGCCATGGCAGCCGGCACCGGAGAGTCGAAAATGTTGCGCCAGCTATCGTGACTCGGCAGACACTTCTGCTTTTTGTTTCGGGGCATGGGCCAGGGCTTTTTCTGATCAATGTACACCCCATACACACCCTCAGTAATGCTCCTAAAACACCCTGGATGCACTCAAAAACAGGGCTTACTGTAAGGTTGTGGGGCTCAGACTTTCGGACTTTGCCCCCGAATCCCCTCAGACAAAGAAGAGGACCCCCCTTCTGGGGGTTCAGCTGACACAGAGTTGTTTGCTGCACAAAATGTAAACTGGGTATTCGAAAAGCTCCGAGATCTAACAAAGCATCTTTATCATCAAGGACCCCATGAAGGTGCCCATAGTTTCCAGACACAACCCGCAGCAACAAAGCTACATCTTGGCATGCCAAGTTCGACCAAGCTTCTCTGGTGCTCCGGCCACTTTTGAGATCTCCTGGCAAGGCAAAGTGAGGTATCTAAACTCCTAGTATCCCCCCTAAAGACCCCGACAATACTCCACGGAATTCAGACTATAGCTCAAGTAGACTTAAATCTCAGGTTGGTTCAACTGCTACTCATTGCAGAAACTGACGAACTAGCAATCAAGGAAACACCGCTGAAGGGTCACTCCTCAACAACAGAGTACACCAAGGAGGCAATCCAGGATTGTTGCCCCAGCTCCAGTATCATGACTAACATGCTATGGACCTCGCCGACTTACCGTCGTGGATGTTCTACTGCGACAATTGCGAAAACACGTTCATCCCTGGTACACTTGAGGCGTCAATGGGCGAGTCTCACAACTCTGTCTCTTGACCAAGTAAAGTCCTTCATGAGCAGACCATTGCAGTTCGGATGCAGGATGTCACTGTTGCCAGCAACGCAGCCCTCCAGCGTTCAGCGCAACATGTCACAGGCTTCCACTGTGAATCCGGCTTGGAAAATGTCGGAAGGTAGTGTTGAGGGAGTAATGGACGGGGCATTTTGAGTGGTACAGTACTTCGAATAGTGATGCGCATCGCTTACATAGGGGAAGGCCTTGCCTTGTTCTTCGTGGCCTCTTCCAGCACCTGAGATCAGCAGGTAGTACAAGCACAAGCTAGGACTTCTGAATCCAGTAGCAGTCCAGAAGGACATGCCCGCGTGAACCTCTGTGAGGAAGCCCAGAGTAGCGCCGATAAAGCCCAAACAAGTGCAATAAGCAGTCACAGGCTCTTTGAAGGGCCTGTTCCTTCCAGTGAGTCTCTTCAGATCAACAACACACCGTAGTGCAGCGCATGCAGGATTATGATTGCACGAGCAAAACATCCCACAGAAATGTCACCAAAGTAAGAAAATCACATCAGTATGCGTCATACCACCGCTATCAATGGAACGGGCTCAGGCCGCTGCGCTCATGATCCAGGTCGTGCCGCTGTTTGGCAGAGACAGTAGGATGGTCAGCGGCTGTCGCAAGCGGATCTGCCCAGCAGGGCCTCGCGCCTTGGAAAGGGAACCAATTGACAGGGACAGTGCCCCTGACCCAATCACTTTGGGTGAGAACAGTATTACGGAGAACAGCTTGGTTTGCAGGCGCTGTAACAGAAGGGCCCAGGCACCCACTCATCATCGTGCAGGGCGGCTGGCCGGGCCAGCGACCACTCCGACTCCCATTTGGCTCGCAGGCGTGGAGCGAAGTGAAGCTGCGGGCATGGTGTCTGCGCACCTCTCAAAGGGTGGATTCTCAAAATAGGAATATACAGATTCAAAGAGGAAGGTAAAGGGCCCTCTTGCGTATTGTCTAGGAGAAATTCTGAGACTTCTGTTTCTCGACATCGTGCATCTGGGCAGTAGTCCATGGCGATGAAATAACTGCAACGATGCAACGATAGCAGCCATGAACAGCAATAGCATACTTCCACTTGCAACGGTACCTTGTATCTTGAGGAAACAATAGCACTGACAGTCAGCTGTATCGGCAGCACTATTGACGACCACCGGCCACGACAACAGTCATTAGTCATAATGCATTACGTATCATGGCGTCGAAGAGCAGCCGCCATGCCTCGTGGTGAAACGAGCTCACCAGTTGCACCTCAGTCATGGCTTCTCGTGTTCTGGGGCTTGGGACCTTCATGCATTGAAGGGTGATCGGGCTAAGGGGCCGAAAGTTCATACGAGGCATAGGATGTATAGATGGTACAAGACTGTATCAATTCTGGTCTACAAACTACGCCACAGCCGCATGGTCAAAGTATGGTGTCTCAGTTCAGATGATACCCTCCCTAGGTCGGAGTTGAAAACGGAGCTGTCTGCCACATAATCAAACTGTGGGTTCCTTGTGATAAGGGAGGACGCGGTTTTTGAGACACCCACAAGTCAATCAGCTCTCGGGGTGATCCCTGTGGCTTTCTTGAGATGGCTTTTACCTGAACCCCAAAAGTTATGTAGAAGAATTGCCTTTTAGGGTTTGTTAATAATTTTGTGCCATTATTTTGCCTACCTTGGGGGTCTAGGTATCTCTCTGCTAACACAGCTTGAGGGTGTCCAGTCACTCATCTAGTCCTCTCAGGTCTCTCTGTGCTAAAGTTTGCCCTGCACATGGGCTGTTCTCAAAATTGTAGGCCCGTGTTGTTCATGGATGGGTTTAGGGCACCTAATATTTAGGGCACCTAATATTGAGGGGTAGCAAAATGGAACCTCAATTTTGGGAACTACCCACATGCCTATCCTGATATGCCCAGAACACGCGGTCCCAGGCTCACAGGACACGCAAGCCGGGACATTAATTCTGAGACTCACAGGGCCTATAGCCTCAACTCCTACAGTAGTATCCCCCTTAATGACCCTAGTATAGTCCCCTATGCTACAGGCTGTCTAATCCCCTATATAACCCCGCTTTTAGGCGTTTAGACTCCAGCTCACAGAAACGGGGTATCTCTGCCAAGCTGCGAGACCAGGAGAAGGAGACCAGCTTTGACCACACACGACGATTCCTGCGGAGATAGCCTCAGCCAAGCCGAAACTTCTAGGGATGGCGGGGGGGGTGGGTGTCATAAGAACTCCTTTGTCTGAGGCACACAAGGGGGGACCCGACTTTTGAGACATGCCTATCCTGAGGAAAGACCCCTGCAATCCTATCCTCTTCATGCATCCCTGGGTCACTCAGGGTCGCCGACTAAACTCCAAAGGCCCTCGCAACAGCTAAGTGACCGCACCATGGTGAAGACGTGGATGCCTTGGGCACTGAAAGCCATGTCAATCAAGAAAAGTGCGGTGTATCTCCATCAGTCATCTTCCGGAGATTGAGGGATGGGGTGGGTGGGTAGGTAGGTGGGTGGGTGGGCAGACAAACAGATGGATAAAGACAAAACCAAAGGGAGGAGAGGGAGGAGAGGGAGGACAGGCACAGTACCAGGTCACATTGTACAAGTATCTGACCCCAAGACTGCTAAAAACAAGGACAAATGTGGCCAGGCGTCTGCTCGGCGGGGTGGCCGCGCCGATCCTCTCCCTCCAAGTGTGGCAACTTGCCCGTGCCGAACTGTCGCCAGGAGGCCCCTCGCATGTACCACTGGTACTCCGTCAGCCACCCTCAGATTGGTGGCTGCTAGGCAGCTTGTGCGAGGCACAATCCTCTGCATGTCCCTCATCAGTGCTGAGGAGTCCACCGGATGCATTACCAGGATGCACTGAGGAAACATGCCGGCACAGGAAGCCTTGCTGGCCTCCCGCTGAAGGCAGGAAGCTCGTAAGCCTGTCTTTCCCTGCCTCAGTCTCTTGCGGTGCAAATGTTGCCTAAGTCTTCTGGTGCGCTGGCTGGTCCTGTAGGGCTTGCGAACCCCCGCTTTTCGCCAATCCTGATAGGACCATGAAAACGTAGCAGCGGCCATACGAAACGCAAATCGCTCCAGCAACAACTCTCCCTCCAGGAACCGCTCAGTGGGCTCAGGCATATACCGAACTCTCAAAGTCTGCTCATGGGACCGCAGCGCGGCAGCGAAAGCAAACTCCACAAGGCCCTGCATCTGGCTATCTCCCGCGAAGGTATACACTAAGCCGCTCATAAGAACAGGCCTAAGCTGATCAGAACTCAAAGTTGCCGCGACCAAACTGAGCCCAACTTCTTTTATAGTCATGAAAGTATGCCCTACACAACCTTGCTGGTCACTGCCTGGGTCTCAGCTGTGGCAAGAATAAACGGGTCAATCTGGTGGCGGATCCAACAACGTGCGTCCAAGCAGAGGCAACTTTGGCCATCTGCTGCAAGGCAGCACGATTCATAAACAGCCCGCGGGAGGACCAAACGACCTCCAAAAAGTCTGTTCCCCAGCTGAGCATAGGCATCGTCACACCTCGTTTCCGAAGTGGCTGCAAGCGCTCTGGATTATTGTTATGATTATTGTTGCTTTTGTTATTTCTTGCCATGATTACTAATAACTAGTATCACTATTATAATTACTGTTATTACTATTATTACTAGGCCCATCTACTTCAAACCATCTTAAACAAGCCAGGCGTCCGTGCTGCTCTGCAACGATGCCACGCCCGAGAATGAGGGGCATCTCCTCTGACCCTCAGTACACGCGAAGAAGCTAAAAGTACTCTTCAACCAACAAGCCATCCATCCATGTCTCCCAGCTCTACGACAGGTCTGCATTTTTGGGACTCCGTTCACTCGTTTGATTCTGCTGGTAGGATCCTACTTACTTGCAGTTGTATGTAAGGGCCTTGCCAGACTCAAGACCTGCTCAATGATGGCTGGCTTCAACGCCGTTTCGCATGAAGCTGAGAGAAACTTTGACCCTTGACGCTTGAGCTGATCGCGGGTTTTTGCACCAGATCAGTTCTGTTCTTTAGCTGTACGTGTATCAAGCAATGGAGTTCTCCGAATCAGCCCCAACGGTGTAATCCTGATTCCAGGGACTGCCGAGACAGACTGGAACCCACATGAGCTATAGTCTAAACTCCTAGTATCCCCCTTAATAACCCCCATATTAGTCCCATATATAATCCCTTATATGGTCCCCCTTTAAGGAGTTTTGACTATAGCTCACGTGTTTGAAAACAAGGTCTCCCTTCTCACCATAGGACGCTGGGTTTCACCTTGGTCGTCCACAAGCCCATCAATCCTCACTCAGGTCCATGGCGCAAAAATATTATACAACCCCGATTCCTGTACACCCCTGAGCCCTTAACCCTGAACCCTAAATCCCAAAGCCTAAACCCTAAATCCTTAACCCTATATCCTGAATCCCCAGACCCTTATCTCATAGCCAGATTGGGACTCTGGACTGCCGAGTCTCAACCCATCCTTCTGGATGCGGATCTCATAACAGAAAGGATAGCTCCTGCAAGCCCGACTTTGTCGGTAAAAAAAGGGGGGATTATATGGGGGACTATTATCGGGGTTACTAAGGGGGATAATAGGAGTTTAGATTATGG